ACTCCAACCAGGCGGGGCCCTGCGAGTCAGAAAGCCCAGGAGCCAGTCACAGAGGGTGGGGTGCAGACCCAGTGTGGACAGTTTGTGCATGCACAATATTGCATAAGCTTGCTTAAACTATTAATAATTAATGCATGATTAATTTGATGATTTCTACTGGCAGTATCATGCTGCAATGCAATTGGAGTGACACACCAGAAGAGGGCTGCATTGCCCCAAGGACTGATCAACCTCATCTTTATGTACAGCTTTGCTCCATGAAGTGTTATATTTGACTTATAACTTAATTCGTTTTGATTAATACAACTAACCAGAGAGAACAGTTTTAAATAGAAAGAACCAGAGACAAACAAGAAAACCAGGGGAAAATTATTTATCTTAATTGGTTTGACTAAGAGGAACCCAGTGGACTCTTAGAAGTCCCCCACAGAAAAACCTCAGAATCAGGAATTAGATATGAACTTGTTATTGTACAGATGTTTATTCACATTTGTACATCATTATTAAAACATTTTGGCTTTGCAAATTATTTGTGTGTAAACATAAATTCAAGAAGACAAGGTTACAAATTCAGACAAACGTCACGATGATATAATACAAATTTGAAGGATTAGGCTAAATAGATGCTAATGGTAGCCCATAGTAACCTGGAGGTTGTAGGGTACCATTAGTGAGTACTACACTGTTGATAATGAAATGTGTAATCATATGAGATAGGTCACTCTATTTATTCCCTATTAATTACAACAAAGCCCAGGAATCATCCCTCTGCTCACTCCTCTTCCAGAAACAAAAGAACAGATGTGTGGCCAGTGCACCCTGTTTGTTAAGCACACTTGCATTGCACATATGAATGACAGACCTGAAAAAACACTAGTTTTTGAGCGAGTCTGCCCACCCTTCATTAAAATCCCCCCATGTTTAATTAGAATACATCCACCACACTTGAGATGTGTCTGTCACTGGCTGAGGCCGGAGGTATTCAAGCTCAGCAGGACTGGCTGTGCTCTACTGCACATCGAAACACATGAAAGGGATGATGAGCCGAGTTTCAGGGGTATGTAGGAGTGAACTTGAACCCATGCAAAATCCATTTAAAATGTGAAGTCAGATAAAAAATATGTTTTCTTCATTTCTTCATATTTAAAATAGAAAGTGTTACAGATATTGCATATTTTGTCGTATAGTGTATTTTTTGTTCCCCAATTTATGTATATTTTTTTATCATGCCAATTATTGAGCCAAAACAAATAATACATAAAGGATGTTAGAAGCTTTTGCATGTAACTTCTATCTGAGATAATCACAGGTCAGCCCATGTGAACTGTCCAGTATTCAATTCAGTTTGATCTGTGTAGCGCCAAATCACAGCAAAAGTAATCTCAGAACACTTTACATGGCAAGTTCTAGATATTATTATTATTAAGAAAAGCAACAAGACATAACAAACAGTCAAACACACTACCTGCAGAAAGGTACAGGGAGAGCGAGAGGACACTATGGGAGAGAGGAGACACACAGTAAGTGGCATGTAATGGTGGCATATAGATGCATGGAAAGAGAGAAGAGAGGAGAGTCGCTCAATGCATCATGGGGGGACCCCCCAACAGTCTAGGCCTATAGCATAAGGGAAGTCTAAATATAAGCTTTACTGAAAAGGAAAGTTTTAAGCCCAACAGTAATCAAAGTTTTATTGTGAGCTGGTCCTCACTGCATATAGGGTGTAACCATCTGAGTAAGACGGACTGCAAAATACCCATGGCTGGCGAGGTTATTACAATTACTTCTGGAGGGCATATGAATGTCTGGATCAAATGTAATCCATCCCATAGTTTTGAGACATTTTGCTAAAAACCAAATTTGTCAGAGTGAGGAGATCACCAAACTCACTACTCCTCTGGGGACAGTGAATATCTGCATATATTATCATGGCAGCTAATCTAATAGTTGTGGAGATCTGTCACTCTGAGCCAAACTGGTGGACTGACTCACCCTACCATAGTGCCACACCAAACCCACAATGCTTTGACCCATGTAAAGGCAGTGATGTTTGCACTGATACTGTATCTTTAGCCTGAACAGTGCAGTTTGTAGAATCTAATTACAGGGTTAGGTATTTAGATTTGTTTTTTTTATCAGATATGATTTTATTTCTTTTTAGTGATTTTTCACACACTACTGTAAAATGTACTGGTCTGCCCACATACTGTACTGACCCACAGTAAAATTGTTGGTGTCATCAGAAAATAAGAAAATGGAAGTTTCCTGTGTGCTCTTTCTACAGTCGTTTGAACTGAGCTGGGGCGGTGGCAGCACACTGTGTTTTGTTATTGTGATTGTTGTTGCATGTGCTCATTACAGCCCACTTCCCACCTCTCCCGTCCCTCTCGTCTTTGTAAAACCGAGGTTGACAGATCTGCAGTATGATGCAGACATGAGAACAGATGATCACCTTTCTTCTATACAGGTGAGTGTCATTGTTTACACAGTTTTCTAGTGGTGCCTGGTTTGCAGCAGTACAATATACAGATTAGTTTTAAAGCTGAATTCAGACAACATTATTTGAAATACTTACATTTATAAATAGGCTAATTTGTGTCACACTAACTGAGCTGTTTTAGGTACAATCAGATGTAAGGATGCAAAACCCTACTGAGTTTATGGTGGTTTAATTGTGGCTTTTTAAGAATTGCTATTGTTTTGTGATTGAAGATACTGATGTTTTGTATTCCATTTCAACATGTACAGAATTGTTTTCTCCAGTATTACCACATTGGAAAATATATAACAACAAAAACTGCATTTTATCCATAATTAGACTAATATATGATCTTTATCTTTGAATAAAATATATTAACATATTTATATTTTAACCAGGCATTAAATAATATAAACAAAAACATAATTTTGTATACCCTAAATTGCAGTTTTGTAAGCATAATAGTAAGATTATATGCAAAATATTTTCACTAATATTTGAATTAATTATTGATAACTGGCAGTGTAAAATATCAGATTCACTTTGAGAATGAGACTTTCTTCATTGTATTGTATTGTTAATAATAACAATTATTAAAAAAAAACTGTAATACAATTGTATGGTTTTGAAGGCTTTGCACTTCATAAACGCAACACAAACAGAAAAATCTGACGGATGAAAGGGAACTGTGGCGAGCATGGGGGGTGTAGATGACTGTGCCTGTCATTTTTGCTGAGCTATGAAGTTCCCTCTGAAGGGGGAAGTGATAGAGTAATGGACACAACTGAATAGATGAAACAGTTATCAGCTTTTGTGACAATCACCCCAGAGACTAGTTTACCTGTAAATAAAATGTTTCAAACTCAGTGATGTAGTATAGTATGTTGTCTTTACTGACATCAGCAGCCACTATGATGTGTGTCGGTTCAACTCAAGTCTTTAAGCCAAACAACGACCTCCATTTTCATTCATCACTTTCCCATAATGACTACACAGTCACCGTGGTGTTCATCAATTTGTTTTAAGTCAGCTGGAACATCTGGTCCCTGTTCACACCACTGGCACTAGAAATCTGATATGATTCTGTTCATTACAGTCATACGTGTTCTGCTGTGATGTAATGTAATGTACGTGTCAATTCAGAATGGCAAAATCAAATCTACACACTTGTTTCCAGAAGCAAACACAGTTGTGAAATTGAGCACATTACTAATGCCCATATACAAATCCAATGCATTTATTGATAAATGAAATATGTATGGTTCAAATTCTAAATATCTTTACAAAAAATGTGGTAATAAATCCCACTCCAACAGATGTGTTGGCAACTGACTCATTTGGAGAATTCCCATGCCTCCTCAAGCTACTTAGTGTAATATGTGAAACTTCTGATTTTTTTTTGTCCTTGTTTAGAAAACCAGTGTCAAAATCAAGAAGAAAGGTTTTGGATGGTTTGTCCATTTGTCATTGTTATAAACCATAAAAGACTGTAAGTGAAATGCCCCACTTACTGCAAACGTATAACAATCATTACTTGAATTGTATCTTTGTTGTCGACAGGTTTGATTAGACCATGAATAACAGCAACTTGGGACTTCTTGGAGATGCTAACATATCTCTTCAGACTGAACTTCAGTCTTGTACCACACTGAGAAACCAGGCTTCTCGCATCTTCCTGTACACCTTCCTCTCTCTTGGCATTGTGTGCACAGTGGTGGGCAACTTCCTGGTTGTGTTATCCATTGCCTACTTCAAGCAGTTGCAGTCACCGACAAACTCCTTCGTCATGTCCCTGGCAGTGGCTGACTGCCTTGTTGGCCTGGTAGTGATGCCTTATAGTATGGTTCGGACTGTGGAGGGATGCTGGCACTTTGGCACCCTTTTTTGCCAGCTTCACTCTAGCCTAGATGTTATGCTCTGCACTGCCTCCATATTACATCTTAGCTGCATTGCCTTTGACCGCTACTATGCTGTCTGCAACCCATTAGTTTACTCTTTAAAGATGTCCCACGGTCGGGTAGCTCTCCTAATTATTGTATGTTGGGCTGTGCCCATGCTCATTTCCTTTGGTCCCATAATGCTAGAACTCCATATTGCTGATGTGGACATCTTGTTTTCTAAAGATATATGTGTGTTCTTGGTCAATCGCATTTATGCTGTCATGGCCTCCTTGGTAGCCTTTTACTTGCCAATGGCTATCATGCTAGTGGCCTACTGGAAGATCTTCAAAGCTGCCAAACGGCAGGCCAGGCAGATCAGTGCCATAGAAAGCCAGATGGCTGCAGGAGTGGGAAAGGACTCAAGCAAAAAACAAAGACACCGAAACACTATAAAGAGGGAGAAAAAGGCAGCAAAAACTTTGGGTATCATCATGGGAGTTTTCCTTATCTTTTGGATGCCATTCTTTACAGTGAACATTGTGGACCCCTTCATTGAATATAGCACAGAGGGGATTGTCTGGGATATATTTTTGTGGTTAGGATATATGAACTCATCTCTAAATCCCTTTTTATATGGTTTCTTCAATCGCTCCTTCCACAAGGCATTCCTCATGTTCATGGGCTGCAGGGTATGCCTGCCTGGATCCTTCCCTGGGATGGAGCTATCACACACTAGAAAGGAGGCAAATGAACATGCAGATCAACCATAAAGTGCATATGATATCAGTATATTTTACCTAGGCCAGGGGTGAGCAAGTCCCATCCAGAAAAGCTACTGCCCTGCTTGTTTTCCAACTATCCCTGCCCTACCCACTGCTGAGTACCTGGATCAAGTGTGTTCAGTCAGTCAGAAGCTGGAAGATACCAATTCACTTTGTCTTTCCTCACTTATCTGTAGAATAAATGATTATTGTGCATAATGCTACAACCAAAACAGCTGAAAATTATTTGCAATTGGAGGTGACATGAAGTTTTACAATGTGACAAAAAGGAGATTTACAAGAGAAGTAAAGAACTTGCTCATATTTATAATTCTGATTCCAAAACAAAGTTGTTCTATTAAGCCGTGACCATACAAATCACATATGATCCATATTAATAAGTAAAGTAGACTGGAAAATACAGATCTTGCTTGAAAATACAAAACTATTTTGTTCCTGTTTACACATATCATTGATACCTTTCGCATTGTTAGATTTCTCTTTATATGAATTAATCTCGAATTGGGAGTGATGAGATGTTCTAACACTGGATTTTATTTTGATGAAAGGGATTCTCTTTTTCTGTCTAAATGTGGATGGCTGATTTTTCTTGAACTGTAAGTACTATTACTAAACATGTTACATGATGACTCTTCAGAAGGATCAAAAACTACTAACTACGGTAAACTAGAGAACAAGGTATTCAGGTGATTGCATGATGATAAAAGGCATCCTGGCAAAACCTGCACATAAGGATGAAGGCACACGTTTTAAGCTAAGTGTGTAGATGAGACAAGTAACATGAAAGGCAAAGCACAAATTTGACTCTTGTTCTATTTACACTGGCTTTCTGTGTAATTTTACTGTCTGGTTTGCAAGTTTTAAAAGTTACACAGTCTCTCCCTAGATTGCCTTTGGTGCACTAATAAACCAATGAATAACTCAAAATTTAAATAAAAATACTTTGTAAATACCTGGCAATTACTATTTTTTATTACATTTTTTTCTATTGCATCTTATTATGATAGCTTTTTTCTTTTTTTTACAAATTACATAAGAATGGAATTAATTTTTATCCTGTGACTCCAAACATCCTGCAAAACTTAAATTATTCTACATATTTTACTCTGATTTTACAAATGTTATATTTAATTTGTCATGTGACAACATGCATATTTAGTATGTATTGACCGGCAAAGGATAAATATTTAGTGCTTTGTAGCAAGATCAAAATGTATCTGATAGAACTAGCAAGTACTTAAGAATACTTACTGTAGAAACACAAGTATATAGCCCTCTCACATTGTTGTGCTTGTTTTAATAAAGCAGTTGTGTAATCATGAGGCAGGGTTGCTTTTCTAAACATACTTGTTAGATGAAGTCTTTGGATAGAAATGGAAATATAGAATGAAGTTGTGTTGTGAATGTACTTATGAAACAATTGCAGTGTCATGAAGGATGATGTATTTGAGAGTTGTACCACTCAGCTTATCCACACAAAAAATAATAACAAAGTGCTGTATGTTAGACATCAAGTTTTTGTAATAAAAGGGTAGGTGGTAGATGATTGAGTCCATTGGTGTGTATGTGTGTGAGGGTTAACTGTCAACTCTATTGCACCTGCCGACACATCTATTTTAGGGCTGTAGTTTCATATCAAACCACTTTTTTTCAATTTTCTGTTATGTGTTCTTAACATTAACTATCCGCCAATCCATGCTGTAGTGTGGGAATTTGCTAGCTTTCACTTGTACAGCAATATTGGGTAAGTATCAAGTTTAATTGTGCCAAAATGCAAAAGTACATTTGCATGATGAAATAAGCCTAATAATAACGAGAAGCAAATTAAAGCTTATTGGTCTTGATAAAGCTAGGACTTCTCTCTCTGTCTCTGACCCGGTCTTTCTACATTATTTATAACCTTAATCTATTCCCAGAAATGATTTTAGCTATTTCTAATCTTTTTGTGTCAGAAGATTTGTTTGATCTTATAAGCCAGGCCATCTTAGCTTTGCTCCTATACTGACTGAGTTGCATAAATATGAGGACAGTCTAAAGGCTAAAAATGCAGCCAGCCTAACCCCAGGCTATCCAGACAAAACTGAGGGCTGTGTTGCCATAGTAACAGCAATCACATCTGTTGACAAGTGTCAAAAAGAGGAAAACATGACTCGATATGTGGTTTAATGTTGATGAAAAGTAACCAATGAGTGTGGAAGTAGATTTAGGAAATGCCTGTAAAGCATACACTGTGTTATTTTCTGTCTTCTTTTAACTTGTAACGCAATCCCGCAAGATACCCAGTACCCAGCGTGCATAGCAAATTAGTCTTATTCATCATATTCAAGAACCAGACAGCTTCGTGCCGACAATAAACACTGATGTTTATCTGCAGTCTGTTTATTAGCTCTAAGCCAGTCTTGTTAACACAACACCAGCACTGCCGGTAGACAATTAGGAGTCAAGGCCATGGCTGTCTCTTTGCCTGGCTCTTGTGCTGTGTGACAGTGCAAATTGTGAATGTGTAATAAACACATTGCAAAGGGAAGCAGTGACTTTTAACACTTCACTTAGAGGAAAGTCCTGAGTTATATTGCTTTGCAAATCTGTTATTTTAAGTGGAACAACAGAGGGAGTCAGAATAAATGGAGAAATGTTTTGAAGGGCATTTGTAAAAGAAAACAACACAGAGAATTCAAACCATGACAACAAATGGTTTTATTTTATGTTTCCTTATATATTTTAATATATATTTCATTATTTGTAGGGACTTTAAGAGTACATCCTACATACTAACAATAAATGGTGCTTTAGTTTCTGTGTTGATACCAATTTTATAACAGTTACCATATTTTTGCCCCACTTGTACTTTAGTCCTTCATGAGGCATCCAAAGATAAGAACTGTATTCTGTTCTTTCTATTCAGATTTTTTTTTTCTTATTCTTCTGGTTGACTTTTCCCTTGGAAAAGAAAAGATTTGGGAAACTCGCTGTGGAATGGGGCTAATAACAGGAAGCAATTGAGACTTATTAGTCTTGACAGCGTCTCTCTCTGTTTCTCTGTATTTCTCAACTTTGCCTGCAGCTCCATACGTGTGTGTGTGTGTGTGTTACTTTCTTTGAACTCCTAAAATATTTATTTGTATGTCCACATTCTTACTGTTCTGTTTATTTTGCTTAACATGTGCAGATTTTGATTTATTTAGGTCATTTTCACTGGTCTTTGTCTATAAATAAACCATTTGGGCCTCTGACTTAAAAGTGAAAAGGTGCAGGGGGTAAAACAATTATGAAATAGCGACATCTGCTGGTCACCATGGATGGTACCTTGTTATTAGCACTCACTTGGGAGCAATGCAAATTACTGTAAAGTGGGTCAAGTAGACTCATGGGTTTTTATTGAAACAAAGCGTGCATAACAATGCCGAGTTAACGTGTCAGTCCGACTTTTGGAATAAATGCTGTGCAGCATCATTCTTAGCTGTACTCTTGTCAAAACAGAAAACTGGCAGATGAAGCATCATAATTCATTTTCACATATCACATTTGAGTAAAGCCAGACATTCTGGCAACAATAAAAAATTTACTTATGACTAACTTTGCCCTGTTAGTGTGTCAAAACATTCATCATTCGTTTTGGTCCATACAGCTGTACGAGTTTTGTCTCAAATCAGCTCAGTATTGAACACCACAGTCATTGTTCACTGGGAGTCATCACACAGTGTGTACACCTGTCAACTATGAGCTCTGTAATGTCGATGCACACTGCTTGCAAGTGACAGCAGTAAAATAAAGTCCAACAAATTGTGTCCACTTCCAAAATGTGGCTTTCAGCAGTTCAGAAGATTGTTCATCTAAATAAACATGACGGTCAGGGAGATTGAGATAAAGGTTTAGTCCTTTTTGTGCTCAGGTCAAGCCATCCCTTTCAGTCCATACTCAGATGTTCTATGAACATGAAATTATGCCCTGTCATAGTCTTTCTTGTATGTTGGTCCAATATGTTCCTTTGTAAAATAAATAAAAGTTTCTCAGTGGCTCTCTAAAGGTCAGTCTCTTTCAGACCATAGCAGTCAGCCAGATCATAGAACTGGTAACTGTTCTGCTCACAGGAGTTGTAAATCCCCATAGACACTGTGTCTACTATATCAATCCGGCCCACTGCAGGTGTGGTACCTTTTCCTGGCCCTCCCTTGATTTTATTTGACAGATTGTTCACTTTCTCTTTGAGCTGGAAGGAGGATTTCTGTAGGGGTGGAAACAGACTCCATCTCTTCAAACCAAGCGAGCACCCTTTCCTTTTGTTTAAAACAGTGCTGCCACAGGATTCATGCACAGCATAGCCAGGATTAGAGTCTGCTCTCTGATCCCTTGTCATTCCCTTGACAGCCGTTCGCCACCTCTGGTCATAGAAGCGACGCAGGACCCGCCGTCTCTGGTGGCACTGGCATCTAAGGAGTCGAATGAAAGCCCGCTGGAACTCTTTGCTGGAGCAGGGGTAGATCATGGGATTGATGCAGCTATTGAAGTAGCCTAGCCAAAAGATCACCTTGAACACAGTTTCAGATGGCTTCAGTGCTGGGAAGAAGGAACCTAGAAGAAGGAAGATGAGTGAGTAAATATACAATACATTACACAATGCAACTCCAGGGTTGTGCTTTAATAAGAATCCAAGAACTGCACTACAAACTATAGTAACCATCAAAACAGTTTTAGCAAAATGTTGGTACAGGAAGACTAGTTTCACTTTCATATATACAAAATACTACACATGGATCATCAGGTGTATGCCATTTTGTTTATGGTTGAAATATTTATGCTGTTATGCTATATAAATACATTTCTCAGCATTATTTACAGCATTATTTTTGTAATGATTTATATCTGTTTGGTTGTGTTTTGTGTTTTATTAGGGATGTGAAGGCTCTGATATTTTGTGGGCTTTTATTACTGGGAGATGTATTTACAGAACATGCTTCAACCACAAACAAGGTGCAATATACACCTTGTCTTGTAAAACATATAACATGCTGGAAGGAGTCAGCACACATTCAGTATAGCAGTACTTGACTCCAGAAGCTTGTGCACCTATCATCTGTGTTTGTCTGATGGAAAATCCTGCTATGGATGAAATATTAGATTTATTAGCTTCACTTAAGAAGGTGCAGTATAAAAATTGAACACCCTGTTTTTTTTCTTGAAACCATTATTTGTGGAAATGCATAAAAAATAATTTAACAAAAACACAAGGTTTTATAGCTTTCTTGCATATAACATTAAAGAACAGTAATTTAGCACAAATTAGGACATAAAAGCTCTGATTTAAAAGGTGAAAACTGCTTTTTGTACAGCTCACAACTAACCCTGGCTCTCATTCATTTGATTATGTTTTAGTACTTGCTATTGCAATAGTTTTTAATGCCATACCCGGTGTGATATGTTACCTTTTCATTTCTAGTTGTTCCTGTCTCCCCAGGCTTGGATTTAACACGGTGTTGACCCTGGACACAGAGGCAACTTATCACAGTACTAATGTCAAGACTGTAATGCCTAGGCCCAGAAGTCTATTTTCATTTCACTTCTGTTAGTACAATGTGGAAATATGTGAAATATCTTGTATTAGATTTTCAAAGTAATGGTTTCATGTTGTTTTGATATCACCTGCCAATGACCTGCTGTGCACTAACATACGGAGACTGCCTTCATTCAGGCACAAAAATATAACAATAAAACTCAGTTCCCCTTCTTACATGGAACTTTTTCTGCAGCGTGTGCAGTGTTTTGTATATTAGCATCTACAACCTGGCTCTGACTTTGCTTTCATTCTTTTTAAAAGGCTTATCTTAGTAAATCAGTTTAGTTAAACTGTTAGGATTAGAATGAATGAAGTGATTAAATTAAACTAAACCTGGTTGGTTCTTCTCCCTGAAATGATATCACATTAGATGCAAACAGCAAGTGAGTCACCACTCTGGCGCACAACCACAATACCTTGACAACAGGTCGTTTAGGGTTTTGTGTCCCTGTTTTATAGCCTTTTTAGATTAGAGTATCTTTTAAGTCTCATGTGTGCAAGATGATTTTCAGATGAAATCCTTTGTGAGGATGTAATTTTTTAAAAAGTTCTCATTGGCTCACATCTTGGTAAAATTCATAGAGTTAAGCAGTTAATTAACGCTTTGGATAAACACTGTAGCCTGTCAAGGAGTCTGGGGACCTGCTCAACTTCCCAGACAAAAATGTTTTGACAGCTCTTTTGTGTGAGCAGACAGAATTTTGATCAGTGCTCAGTTACAGAGCTTAGGGAATTATCTTCTTGACATTTAAAGTTCCTTGTGAAGGTCAACTTTTGAGACCTGTTTTGTGGTATGCAGGGTCCAAGCTATAGTTCAGAGTATGTACATAACACACAATACTTGTTAGTAGGATAAATTCATTGTTGGTTTTGGTGGTTTTATGGGATTGGCTGATCATATGAATAGAGAAAACCACCAGACCTCTCTTTTCCATTGAGAAAGCCTTGCATTCTTGATGACAAAATATAATTTATGTGCAAATGTAAGATGTAAATTGAGTTGAGGACCCCTTACATAACACTCCAGGTAACAACTTCAGTCTACCAAAGAGTGTCATTATGCCATTAATCTCAATACATTCTGTACATTCATTTTAGACAGTATTTAATGTGGACCTATAACATCTTCAGTGTCTTGTTTCAATATTCCTATCTCTAGAATAAAAACATACTTTAAAAAAAAGGTAAGCTGTGTAATAATGTATTAATGTAAAACTTCAACCATGTAGGATTTTTTTGCCATTATACTCATTGAATTTATGTCAACAAAGAGAGGAAAGCACTATTCATAAGTCTGGTGCACTAATAAAAGCAAGACGTGTTAGGCCACTCTCATTGGAGATTCAGATGAGCCAGGCTACTTTGTCTAGATTTACATCATCACAGAGAAAGGGTCTGATTGGCAAGTGATGCTGAAAGCACACGTCTGCCACTTAGCAAAAGGTTACTCATTAATAATGTGTCGCTACAAAGTACCAACATCAATCTGTCTGACTGACCATGTATGGGTAAACAGAGCTAGGGATTGTGGGTTGTGAACTGCCTCCTGCTCATGAGTTAGTTATTTTGGAAACAAACAGCAACTCCTCATAGAAATAAACCTATATAAACAATAATGTAACACTTTATTGATCCTTGTGGGGATTTTATGTGTTAAACAACTGTGTTATTATATATTGACAATTGAAATTAGTTTGTTTGAACTCATTCTTGTCCTTACTAATGTTCAATCATAACAAGAGACGGCACATTTGTCAAACCTAGACTCCCACATATAAACGGTCCTTCCACTCCGGTTAAATGAATAAAGTGATTTGCAGCATGCGTTCTCTCCGGGTGCTCCAGCTTCCTCCCGCAGTCCAAAGACATGCAGCTTAGGTTGACTGGTGACTCTAACTTGCTCGTAGGAGTGAGTGAGTGTGAGTGGTTATCTGTCTCTAAGTGTCAGCCCTGTGATAGAATGGCAACCTGTCCAGGGTGGACCCCGCCTCTCACCCAATCACAGCTGGGATTGGCTCCAGCCCCCCTGCACACCTCTTCAGGATAAGATGTATAGATAATGGATGGATGGATTGGATTTGTAGCACCCATTGCATTTCTCACTCCCTCTCTCTCCCCTGCAGGCTTTGCTCTAATAATCTGATTCTGTACATTTAGAAGTGCAGCAAGAATGAGAGTGCTTTAAGTGCTAAACCTGATAAGATACTAGTTATTGCTCATTGTGGCTTTTGCAATCAATTACCTGAAATATATGCTAAATGAAAATTCATGAGGCCACCCTAGTGAGTAGGAGTCCATGTGGTCTACGAATACTATTACTTTCTGTAAGTGCTGCAATTATTTATTTATGTCTTCAGGACATCGATGCAGCATATTAGTATAATAATTTTGCTGTGACCTTTCCCTCCTACAACTGTAGGCCATGAAACAAATCCCATAACAAACAGTGTCAGTATGCCATTATTTTACATTACTGTTTGAACCTTTTGATAAAACAGCTGGTATTTGGAATGAGCAGCCTTTTGCTTCCAAGGTGCTGGGAGGATTCGGGCACATTGGTGAATAATGTCCCTCTGTTATGGCTGCTCATTTAAAAAGATGATATTAGCCTGAAATATTACAGGCATGACAACAAGTCACATTAATTATCACCTAGCAGATTTGCCCTTTGCTGACCAAGACATTTGTTTTTATAACATTCTAATCATCTTTCATTTTGATCAGTTCCATAGTTCCCAAAATAAACTGTGTATGAAACCCAGCATATGTCATTTTCTGATTTATGTTGTGCCTTTACTGTACAGCTCTACATTTTCTTAATGTATACTTTACTGATTTAATATACTGGCCTCTGCAGCCAGTGTTGTTGGCGCTGTGTAGAGAAATCTGCAGTTCTCAGGAGGACACGCAAAGTCATTAATTATTCATATTAAACATACATCAATTAGAAGAAAATCTCATATCCCTGCAAACTAGTTAAATCTGTCACATACTCAATCAGTGTCTTGAATTATTCATTCATTTTTATTACTTGAAGACATTTAAGGTGTTATAAGTAATTTGTTAGTTCGATGGCAAATTTAGACTGAGGATGCGGGATTATATGAAACTATGTGTCTCCACGCACTCAAGGTCATTTAATGCTGAACCACAAGGAACAGAAATTTAAAGTTCCAACACATACCAATCGGTAGAAAGAAGAAGAAGGGGAGCCAACAGAGGATGAACATCCCCACAACGATGGCCAGGGTTTTCGCAGCCTTTTTCTCCCTGGAGAACTTCAACAGCCGGACTGAGAGCGAACTTCGGAACGCGTGGTTTTTGTTGCTCTTAGAGCTGGACTGACGCGCGTCCTCCAGCACGCTGCGACAGTGTATCCGGAGGACCACTTCCATCGACTTATTTCTCTCCCGCTTGACGCCCGCTTCCAGGTTCTTAGTAGTTCTGCGGGCCACCACATAGACCCTGAAGTACATGATAAGAATAACCAGGAGCGGAAGGTAGAAAGAAAACAGAGAGGAGAAGAGCGCGTAACCTGGCTCCTCTGTGATCCTGCAGATGCTGTCGTCCACAGGCGGGGGTTCCTTCCATCCCAGGAGCGGTCCGACAGATATGACCGTAGACGATACCCAGACTAGGACTAAAATAGCTATCGCCTTCCTCTCTGTCATAATACTTGGGTATTTAAGGCAGTATTTTACCCCTATGTACCGGTCGATGGAGATGATGCAGAGGCTGAGGATGGACGCGGTGCAGCAGAGCACATCCACCGCTGCCCAGATGTTGCAGAAAGCGCGGCCAAACACCCAGCACCCCATAACCTCTAGAGATGCGGAGAAGGGGAGCACGATGGTGCTCAACAGCAGGTCTGCAATAGCTAAGTTCACAATGAAGAAGTTTGTGACAGTCTGCAAATGTTTATTGTACACCACAGACAGAATAACCAAAATGTTCCCAATAATTGCCACCAAAATAAAAGCAGAGAGAAAGATTCCGACCCCGACAACCTGAGAGTCCATTGTGAAGTTCCTGCATGTCGTGATGCTGTCGTTTGGAAATACTTGGTCCAAGACAGAGCCATTGAAAGCTTCGGCAAAGTAGATCCCATGGCTGCTTCTGTTCCTCAAGTTAGAGTCTGTCATTCTGAAACGCCATAAAGAGAACTTCAGAGTAAGTTTTCTAACGAAACCGGTATTTTGAGCATCGTTTTCAAGCTCATTTCAAGCTTCTTTTTAGCAGGAAAATGGATTTGTCGTCCTCCCAGTCAAAATATACTGCGGGTCAAGCGAAGGCTATTTGAAAAATTAAAATAAAAGCAAACGTTCTTATAGCTACAGCCAAATATATGCATGATCAGGAAACTTGTGGTTGCTAAAAGAGAGAAGTATTCAGCTCACTGCAAAAAGCAATTGAGGGTAAAATCTTAGTTTGATGCAACAATAAAAATAAAAATAAATCTAATGCACGTATGGCCATTTCAGCGCAGTTCTTCCATTCGATGGGCTTCCACCAGTGGCATCCTTTGTAACAACCCCGTGATTCACAGTGAGAGCTGGTGCAGGTCTCAACCTACAGCTCCACCCACACGTACTGCTGCCTTCTACAGGCTCCACAAGAGAGCATTGCATTAACTGAAACTTATCTGCCACTTTTCACATCTTCATTCAACTTTTTTTCATTAACAGGTCTTAAATGGCTTAATATGTATGGCTTACTGTATATAGTGCTATAGTAATGCCTTTAAGTATAAATGCCTTTGGGTAAAAAGAAGAAAAAAGCCTTTATATCGACAACCTGAAACAACATCTTTTCAATCCTGTAAAGACAAAGCAACATCAGTCAGACCATCTAAAGTACCACTGGGCACCAACAAGTCAGCGCTAACCTCTGCAGTGCCTTTTGGCAAAACTGAAGTTCCCCAGTGACACTGTAGCTGCCAAACAGGGCTTGTACACATAGCTTCAGTGGTATGACAGGCCTGCACAAACCACCAGGGAGCCTGAAGGAGACGAAAGGCCAAGAGGCAGAGTCACAGAGCAGACAAACTGCATGGGAAAACAGAAACACAGGAGGCTACGTCACTGCTTTGTCCAGTGGCTTTAACATACAGCTCCATCTTTTTACCTACGGTGAATTTGAAACATATGGTGGTGAAAATAAATCTAAGACACTCTGGCAACTATATTAACTGACACTGCTGGAACTATTAGTGAATCCTTTTCCAGGTTTACAGAGAACAGTACTCTGCTGAGACAAGACTGCTGCTGCATATATCATGCCGATTGTGGTTTGCACATCATCACTTATTATTTGTTTTGGAGTGAATTGATGTAATTGCCCGTGTTTGAGTGTAGAGCACACATCAGAGCGCCTTGGGAAATCAACTGCAAAATCCCATATTCACCTGTAACATCATTTACTGCTGTATTAAGCAGATTTAATAGACATCCAGTCATGTTGAATGTTTTAATTGAGAACACACTCGTAATTTACTGAAACTTCAGTGGTTTGTATTATCACACAAAACAGCCGAGTACAAAAAGGCTCCTGATGGTATCTCAAAAAACATGAAGAATATGTAACCTCTTTATATTTGTTGATCTTCATCTATATCTTACAACCAGTCCTCCAGCCTAAACAACCATATAGTCTGTTCCATCTGATACAATCCATAACAGCATCTCCTAAAGTAGTGTCCCTACAGTAGCACGTGTAAGACATCACCAGCAAGTGGACCAGACCTTTGTCACCATGAAAACAATAATAAACACATAGCTATGATTATGGAATTGTCACAGTTTTGTTAGGTTTATGCACAAAAACAACTTTGTTAGGCTTGGGTTCAAATATAACTTGGTTAGATAAAAAATTGTGGTTTGGGTTAAATTAACTTTTGTCACGTTTAAAATAATAAACATGCATTTAATTCATGGATTTTGAAAAAAACTGTTTCACACTGGAATCAAACATCAGTCTTCTGTCTGAAAGGCCTTGTTTCCACCTTAACATGGACTTTGTCACCAGATGTCACCTAATTATCAAATCAAGTCCAATTTTACTTATCAAAGTATCAGAAATCCAAAAGTAGCTTCAGGGGACTTTACAATCTATAACTTTAAAACATTGTTGTGGGTCATAATCATCTGCTGGCACAAACGAGCCATTTTTAACATGAACATTTATTAACGTTGTGTCTCCTCTGTCCAGTAGTTTGTGCTCTCTCTCTCTCTCTCTGCAGGTATCCCTGGCTCCGGATGAGCAGCCACCAGCCACGCTAACCTGCCCAGTGTTTGTTTGTTTGCTGTTTTAGTTGTTGTGTCCTGATGCTTTTCTTCTCTCTCTCTTCTGTCCACTCGTCCTATCCAGTCAACGCAGATGGCCTCTCACCTAGCACCCAATTCCAGTTATTATTCCCGTTAAAGGAAGTTTTTTCTCCCCGCTGTCGCCAAGTGGTTGCTCAAGGGGGATTTGTTGGGTTTTTCTCTATAATACTGCAAGGTCTCAGGAGATATACCTCTGGAGATATAGATGGATGACAAATTAAAGGATAAAACTGTGGTCTCTGGATGACAGTGCCCCCCATCCATAGGGCACGAGGGGTCGTTGAATGGCTTGATGAGTATGAAAATGAAGTGAATCATATGCTGTGGCCTTCACAGTAACCACATCTCAATCCAGTTGAACACCTGTGGGACATTCTGATCCAACCATCATCAAAACACCCGGTGAGGGAATGTCTTTTGGAGACTTGGTGCTCATCCTCCTGTAGAGTCCAGACACTTGTAGAATCAGTGCCAAGGTGCACTGAAGCTGTCCTGGTGGCACATGGTGGCCTGACACCTTACTGAGACACTTTATGTTTGTGTTTAATTTGTCACCCATCTGAACATGCTGAAGGATGTGTCTGGGCAGCTCAAAAGCCATTTGTGCCTTGTTTTACAAGGCTCTAAAAATTATTACTCACCAGAAAACCAAAACTGCTGGATGGAAATAAAATTAGGAGACACATTTTTCCTAGTAAGGCAAAATGTGCTTGCACAAACAGCCTGTATGGTTGCTTTTTATGGGAGGACAGTCTTGGTTAAGGTTAGGGAAAAATCACAGTGAAGTCAAGTAAGGTATGTAGTCCTATGACACATGCCAATCCACCATCCCATCCTCAATCACTCTTACTTTTTCATACACTTATAGCACACTATTTTGTGCCATGGAGGTGAATGTTAGCACTGGACATTAATGTTTGTACAGCTGCTTGGCTCACCTTTCAGCAGTCACTGGACATTAATGTTTGTACAGCTGCCTGGCCCACTTTTCAGCAGGTCTTTGTGAGCTGTCACTAGACTATAATTTACAGTAAGTATGGTGAGATGCTAACATTTAGCAATAATTAAGTATTACTGTTAAAGTACAGCTGCATCTGAGACAAGAATTTGTCAAACAGTTTCAAGTATCCTGTCATGAAGTGAAATGCTGGAGGAATCCAAATTTTACCGGCTATGGTGTTAGATAGGAGCCAGAAGATCGGTAACACAATTTAAAAAGCATAGAAGCTGCATTAACAACTAGGTCTGGTATGGCGTCAATATGCTATGGGAAGCAACACTTCTGTTTCTCGTCACGCTGAGCCTTTTCAGCTGTCAGAGCACATCCTCATTGGTTAAAGAAGCTACAACCTCACCAGCCTACCTGCTCCTCCTTATGAGGGGGCTAAATCTGCAGACATGCACAGCCAGCTTTAGGCCACATCATACAGGAGAGATTGTTCTGGTGGCAATGAGCTTGAGCTTGTCAAAGATAAGAATGACTGAGATAATGATGTATGGAATGAACTGCAGTTATATGTTTTTTTTGTTACAGCCTTAAACATTTCAATTATCATTCATGACTTAAGTTATTATTTTATTTAGTTAAAACAAAACAATAAATGAGACTTCAGCTCTGAATGTCCACTAAAGGGGTGTTTGAGAGTATTCATATTGATACTAGGTTACAGGTTCCACGGGTCAATTATCTCAAACATACTACTATAAAACTATAAAATATATTTGACAATTCAAATGAGTGTGTGTTTCACTTGCTGGAAACCAAAAGTCTCCAGAACAAACAAGATATGTAAGCTCTCTGTTGTGCCAGTCTTGCAGAGCATCACCGGAGAAGAACTCAAGTGTCTGAGGATTTCTTTGGAACATAGGATGTTCCATGTCACTGATTACAAAAAAAATGATTACAGCCAAATTTGTAATATTTTATACACTACTAATCTGATGTATAACTCACAAATTGAAAATTAAAGTCAGTATTTTAATGCCATAGCTCTTGTTTTGTTTTCAACCCACTGTGCCGAGACCCAAAATTACAATGTACTTGATGCACCCCGGAGGTCGTTGATTACAAGGAGAAGCCTGTATTGTGCACAACTTCATCATCAGCTGCACTCCACTCACCCCAGAGGCTTCTGACCTCTTTCAAAATGTTTCCTCTGATACTGTATACAGTATGTACTGTAATGTGTTAACAGTAAAACATCTTCTGAGGTGATTATTTGGTTCTGCATGTGTGATTTTAAAAGTCTGAATTGGTGTTGCAGGTGTACAAAGAGGAAGGGGCTACTCATGTTTTGAGTTTTTTGTTATGATGCCAACAGAAGTATTTGCACATTTACACATCACGCACACAACTAAACTCATTCTGTCCCCTTAGACTTTCAGAATGCTAATCTGGCCTACACTATGACATTTGATCAGTCCTCAGCAGAGTGCCGGGATTCAGGCGGCCACAAGTCATGTCAAGCTTTGATATCACTTCATAAATGGCTGTTTAAAGGCTTAAATGATTGAAAAGGTCAAATGTCAGGGGTGTCTCATACAGCTTCCTGGTTTGTAGCCAGAGAAACAATGACCAGCATGTACATGATTTGAAAGAAACAAAAACACAGTCATGATTTTTACTGTATAATCGCATTGCATTTTGATGTTTAGAGGTGACACATACAAAAATCTATCACAATCAGATGCATAAGCAGGCACCTTTTTAGAAGACTGTCAACTGAAGCTATTTCCATCAAGGTCAAACAATGACAATGATCTTTTCTTTGTAAAGTTGGACTGTAAACCAGCAGCAGTGTTTAATGCCTCTCACCCCCTTTGCATTGAGAAGTGCTGATTTACACCTTATAGCTGTGCCTCAAAAAGCACTCACTTATGAGACATGAAAAATGTGTTGCACTCACTACTTTCTTTCAGTGGTGTGGAAATTGATGTATTTATGACTTGACATGTCATTTAGGCAGCGTTCGGTTAAAGCCATTACAACAACTCCTATCGCCATGTTGAGAATGATGCAAAGAAGAGTGTCACTTGGGTCACATTACAGAGTGTAATTATTACTTCAATACAATGCTGTCTTTGCCAGCTTTGACAGAACAAAGATTTCAACTGTACCTTTATTCTTGCAGGTGGCATATTC